TGTGTGCTCTCTCAAATAAATAAAATCTTTATATAATGGATTTATTTAGTAGATACAGGGCTGTTCAGATATTGTCTCCTCTTGTTTCAATTTTAATTCTTCATATTTTTCAAGAAATTTATCCATGTCATCTAGATTGGCAAATATGTTACATAAAGTATGCATAATATCCTCTAATCCTTTTTATTGTTGCTAGGATCTCTGGTAATAACTCCTATTTCATTATTTATATTGGTGATTTTGGTTCTCTTTTTCTTAATCACTGTAATTAGATTTTAAATTTTTGTCATTTTTCTTGTCTTAATTTTTTTCTATTTTGTTAATTTCTGTTCTTAGTCACTTCTCCTTGGCTTGAGTTTACTTTGATCTTTTCTTTCTAGCAATTTTTTTTAAAAGATATTATTCATTTATTTGACAGAGATCATGAGTAGGCAGAGAGGCAGGCAGAGAGAAGAGGGGGAAGCAGTCTCCCCGCTAAGCAGGGATCCTGATGCGGGGCTCGATCCCAGGACTCCGGGATCATGACCTGAGCCGAAGGCAGAGGTTTAACCCACTGAGCCACCCAGGCACCCCTCTAGCAATTTTTAAGATTAACTTTCAGTCACTTAGTTTAGGTCTTCTTTTCCAATAGAAGTACGTAAAGGCATAAGTTTCCTGCTATGCACTATCTTTCTCTATCCTGTAACTTTGATAGGTTGTATTTTCCTTGTGTACTTCCCAGTATTTGCTCACTTTTATTGTTCCATTTTTGATTCATATTTATTTGGAAGTGTGTTATTTAATATTTGAGGTTTTCCTAGATATCTTATTATGGATTTTTCATTATTTTTTGGTTAGAGAATTTACTCCGTATGATTTGGATTCTTTTAAATTGACTGGGACTTTTTATGGGCCAGCATATGGTCGGCCTTTTGACAAATGCATCATCCTTGCTTGAAAATCATGTTTTCTGCAGTTACTGGATGCAGTGTTATACAGGTATTAAATAGACCTCTGAGGTTGGTGGTGTTTAGATCCCGTGTCTTACCGATATTTTGTCTAGTTCTGTCAGTTATCGAGAGGCAGTAAAATCTATTCTGATGGTGAACATGTCCATTTCTCCATTTAACTTAAGCCCATTTTTGCCTCATGTACTTTAAAGTTTTGTTACTATGTGTGTACAAATTTAGAATTGTTATAAGTGTCTATTATTATGAAACATTCTTCTTTATCTCTGATCATACTTTTTCTTGAAGTTTCTTTTGTCTGATACTGAAGTAGCCACTTTAGCTACCTTACCCTTATTGTCTTTTAAGATTTTATTTATTTGACAGAGAGCGATCACAAGTAGGCAGAGAGGCACGTAGAGAGAGAGAGAGAGAGGGAAGCAGGCTTCCTGCTGAGCAGAGAGCCCAATGCGGGGCTTGATCCCAGGACCCTGAGACCATGACCTGAGCTGAAGGCAGATTCTTAACCCACTGAGCCACCCAGGTGCCCCTGCCTTATCCTTATTGTTTACGTGGCACATACACTGTCTTCCATCTGTTCACTTTCAGCTTATTTGTGTCTTTATATTTAATGTGTCTTTCTTACAAGCTTATAGACAGCATGTAGTAGGGTCTTGCTTTTTCACCTGTTCTCTCTGCCTTTTAATTTGAGTATATAAACCAGTTAACATTTATTGAATTGTGGAAATGATTAAATTTAAGCTACTATTATGTTTTTATTTATCCTGGGTTTTGGGTTTTGTGTTTTGTTTTTTTTTTTTTTTTTTGCTTATTTTTTTTCTCCTTTTTGTATTATTTGAATGTTTATTAATGTTCCATTTCAGTTTACCTATTGGTGCTCTGCTTATACGTCTTTGCATTACTTGTTACTGGTTGCTCTAGGGACTACAACATGCTTAATGTCTAACCAGTCACAGTCTAGAGTTAACTTCATGCCATTTCACATAATACATAGAAACCTTTCAATCATATGAGTCTTTTCCCCTAGTCCTTTTTGTGCTAGTTAACAAGGTTATGTTTGCATACACTGAAAACTCTACTAGATATTACAATTTCTAAATCAGTTTTTATATATGTATATAGTTTATTATATGTCTGTTATAAATCATATACATATGTCTAAAATATAATATATAACCTATTTTATATACACAATATGTCTCTATTAGATATATATACATACACATATACATATATACATCCATATATACAATGTTTATATTATATATACATATATAGACACATATACATATACACACATATATATATGGAATGTAAGAGGGGAAAAAAATAGACTTCTGTTTCTACTCAACTATTCTTTCTGTTGCTCTTTCTTCATTCTTTGAAGATAAAACTTCCTTCTTAACATTTCCTTTTAGCCTAAAAACTTCCTTGAATATTCTTTTAGAACAGATATGCTGATGAATTCTCTTAGTCTCTCTCCTTCTGAAAAGATGTTTTGCCTTTTTCTCCTGAAGGATATTTTATGTGAAGTTCTTATCTTTCAGTACTTTAAGTGTAGATATTATTTCACGGAGTCCTTGTTTTTATGATTTATAACAAATCTGTAGTCACAGAAATCATTATTCCTTATGTGTACTGTATTGGTTTTTACTAGATGCTTTCAAGATTTTTTTTTTTTTATCTTTGGCTGTTAGTACTCTGGTTTTGTTGCTGTCTAGCATGATTTTTCTCTGAATTTATCTATTTGAGGTTTGTTGAGCTTCTGAAATTTGTGAAATGTATGTCTTCCACCAAATTTTAGCAGTTTGGGGCCATTATTTCTTGAAAAACATTTTTTTTTTTTTTTGCCTCAATATCTTTTCTGTCTTCTCTGGCATCCAGATTACACATTACACAGCTCCCTCGGGTTCCATTTATATCTTTTCAATCTTTTTTTTTCCTCTGTTGCTCAGATTTTATAATTTCCATTGATCTACCTTCAAGTTCATTAGCTTTTTTCTCTGTCCTCCCCATTCTAGCAACTTACCCATCTAGTAACTTGTTTCTGCTAGATACTGTATATTTCTTTTCTAAACTTTCCACTTGGTTCTTGTTTATAGTTTCTATTTCTCTGAGAATTGATATTTTCATTCATTTCAGATGTGTTTTCCTTTACCCTATAAAACACGGTTACAAATAGTTGCCTTAAAGTCTTTGTCCAGTAGTTCTAACTTCTGGATCATTCAGAGTTGCCATCTGCCATTTTCCCCTTGAGAATTGGTCAAAATTTGTTGGCTCTTTTAAATTGTATTGGGGGTGTTACGAATGCAACATTTTATCAACTCTAGGTCCTGCTTACAGTGGAGCAGAAAATATAGGATTAACTTTAAAAACAAACAAAAACCCTGAGAAGTTTCAGTGCAAACCCGGCAAGTGAAAACCTGGATATAGCCCATCCTTACTGCTGATTACACTTACAACTCTGGGCCAGAGACAGCTCTCTGAGCACTCTGAAAATGAGTAAAGCAGGAGGTGTTGGAGGGGAGTCAACATTTTGGAGAATGTTTTTGTTTTAGCAAGTAATCACCCTTTTATGTTTACGACATAAGTTCTGTCCCATTTCCTGTGAGTTGTGGTTTCAATCGGAGTTCAATTCTGTTAAGTCTTTGCTATACTGGTTTGGGTCTTCCCTGTCACATGTGGCTCAGGGATGAGTCTGATACTTGTGTGCATCGTTCACATCGCAGCTCAGTTCTCTAAGCCTTTTCTGCATTGGTTTGGGGGTGTTCTGTGCTGCTCTTATTCACGGGTTAGGCTGAGACTTGTTCTAATCTTATTTCGCGTCTGAAAACATTGCTGTGTCAGTTGGATTCTGACCTGCCAAGTGCATAATTCAGGGGTTATTCTTCAGCTGGTATTGATTCCTTCTGCTTTAGAATATCTCCATCAGTCTTCCTGGATTACCTCCATACTCTTGAATTTGTAAGGGCTTTTTTGTTTTTTCTTGGTTCTTTTCACCAAAAAAGGGCTCCTGGAAATGTAGTCACACAGAACGCCATGATGCTCTGTAAATGTTCCCACACTCGGGCAAAGCTAAGAAGCAATAGAATTTAAAACTCCGCCCCCTGCAGGTTGATTCCTCTCCAGTCTCCCTGCTTTATTTCTTTGCAAAGTTGGCTGGGCCCAGAGTTTTTAGCTGTAATCCGCAGGAAAGATGGGCTACTTGCGCTTCCTCAATCAGCATGCAATTCCGGAGGTTTGGTTATGTTTTTATAGTTAACCCTGTATTTTCTGCTCCATTATAACTTAGTAGCAGACAGGCAACATTACTGCATGTCTGGAAGTTCAATAGTATTCTGAGGTGTTTATAATTTTGCAATGGAGGAATGAATAGCACATAGAGGTTTTCGATTTCAGTCAGTAAAACAAAACATTGATGACATACTCACTATGTGCTGTGTGTGAAGACAGTAAAATAATTTCAGCGTTTACCTTACAACCTCGTAGGCGTTAGACTTGCTTAGTGAATAACGATCAGTAAATATGATTATAAGCATATTATTTGCAAAAGACAGGAGTTTTCCCTTAAGGGTTAAAATACCATTTTTATTTAACATAGTAGAGTGCCTTCAAAATAATGAATAGCACAGACACAGTGCTATTTAATTTTGAATCCATATTCAAATCAGTGCTGTACTTTCCTATTGGTAGAAAATCTGAATGACACTTTATTAGCTAATTTGCTCTTTTCTAAGTTTTAAAATCTGGTTTATGAGAAATACGTTATTTTTTACTTTTTTTAAAGATTTTATATATTTGAGAGAGCATAAGCAAGGACAAGCAGGGTGAGAGGCAGAGGGAGAAGCAGGCTCTCCGCTGAGCAGGGAGCCCGATGTGTGGGACTAGATCCTGGGACTCTGGGATCGTGACCTGAGCTGAAGGCAGATGCTCAACCTACTGAGTCACCTAGATGCCCTGAAAAATACCTCGATACATGATGATTTCTTTTTTGGTATCTTCCTTAGGATGGCTGATGTCAACTTTCATTAAGTCTTTTTAATTAAATCGCAGACACAACCAGAGCAAGAAGAAGCCAGGAGAGCGATGGTGTGGAATATATTTTCATTTCCAAGCATTTGTTTGAGACAGATGTACAAAATAACAAGTATGTGGAAGGTTTTTGTATGACTGTTGTTTTTAAGCCTGGGCCTCTCTTACCTGGTTTTAGGCAACTGAGGGTTCCCTTCTGTTTGAAATAAATTTTAAGTTTTATAATATTTGAGACAGATGAAAAGGTGAGGATTCGGTTAGTAGGTGTTACCAGTCTTCACCTGTAATGTTTGAGTAACCTAGAGCTGCTATGTTTCTGATGAGTTAAATGGGCAGGAGTTACTTTGAAAGATGAGGGAATGTTGCTTCTATGTTATTGTGGCCTCTTTCCACCCCACTCCCTGAGTCTTAATACAGAATTTGAATAGAATTTTCTTTAAAAAAACTAACAATGATGTACTAGATACCTAGTCCCATCATCATCTTCCACACGCATCTCTCTCCCTCGCTGGCTCTTCAGCAAATTAAAATGCTGTTAGTCGCCTTGCTTATACCATGTCCTCCGGCCAGCTCTAACTGCCCCACCTCCCCAGGTCCTCCATTTGCTCAGCCTGAATATTTTAGGGTATCAGGGAGCAGTGTGTGTTTTAATGCAGGATTTGGCGATTTTATTGAAACATCAAAATGCTTTTTTCCACGTTTGGCACAGCGATTGTGTTTTTATAGCACGTAATCGGCTGCCCTGCTTCCATTAGCCACCAAGCAGTTCCTCCTGTCGCTGGAAAGCCGAGTGTGGTTATTCTGCAGCGTGCAGTGAAATTTCAGTAGTTTCTATTGTTTGGCTTATTCACTGTTTTATTGCATTGCATTAGTTCTGAAAAAGAGGTGATGGAAAACAGAGTACTGCTGGACTGAAGTACTTTCTTTCTGCTTAAGTGTAATACAAGCAAGTGTTACTGATTTGAAAATGTAAAATACAAGATTTTTTAAAATTGACATTCTGGAGGACTTGGCCCTACTTATTTTATTGAACACAGTAAAAAAAAAAAAAAAACTACATGTTCAGCAAAAATCTTTTTATATATTTGAATTATGTCTTTCCACTTATATCTGTGATTAATTCACGAACGGCTCTGATGCCGATGTGATTTCCTACAGGTTCATTGAATACGGTGAATACAAAAACAACTACTATGGCACAAGTATAGACTCCGTGCGGTCTGTCCTCGCTAAAAACAAAGTTTGTTTGTTGGATGTTCAGCCTCACGTAAGTGAACAATGAGCTGTTCAGTGCCCTCTGGCCCGTGTGAGCTGCCACACTTCACGGGAACCTTTCAGTCTGGGGGTAAATCTGAAGGCTGCTCACTCGGCCTATCTGTGGCTTTCCTAGTGACGAAGGCCTTTAAATGTAATAGGAGAGGTCTCTGGTGAGGGGGGGAAAGACCCATAATATTAGAGAAGAGAAGGAGGGGAAGCCACAAGTTCTGCTGGTAACTCTTGTTTATGTTCCGCATTTGCCAAGTACAAGGGCTCTTAGGTATTTCTTCTGTGTAGTTTTTATTAAAAAAAATACACTGCTACGTGTATAATGTATTCTTAAGTGCTAAGTACGATTATAAGTGTTTGTAATTTTTACAGTGGGCATTTTGGTTCTTGGCCCTCTTGTATTTTGATTCTCTACATATTCAACTGTATACCCCTGCATAGCACGGGGGGACGTTTCGCAGGAACTGAGCTGAGTGACATGGTTCCTGCAGCTGTCGGCTGAATCCTTGCTGGGGCGCCGGGAATGCTTATGAACGCTTTGGACCGAGAATGCCAGTGGGCGAAGCCATTCAATTCTTACTGAACCACCTCTCCTCCAGCAGCGACCCAACCCACAGCTTTGTCCTTGTCACCCACGGGCCACAGAGTCTTGCTCACTGATGGGTGTACAACTTCCAAGACCCAGGATGGCCTGGAGATGCCCTTCACTCCTCTTCAGGAAGAGGAGTCTGGAGTGAAAGCGTCCCAAGGATCAGTAGGGCAGCTGACCCCTTCACTTCGGCACCGGCGATGTGTAGGATACTCCTATTTGTGCCGAATCGCCCTGCTGGTACCCTGGCTCTAGTCGGGTCCAGCTCCCTTGGTGTGTGGCCAGCTGTCCGTCCCCAGAACCTCACTAGCCCTCCGGACATACAGATCCTCTGGCCCCACCCCCCACACTAACCTTTCAGGGGAGTTTATGATTTGTACGCACATTCTGGGGGACCCTGACACATAGGTCAAGAGGATCCCTCAACTCCCACCCTTTTACCATTCCCCCTCAACTGTAGGTGAGTCCTCAGAAGCGTAGTGTAAATAATGTAAGATATTTTGATGGGGGAATGTTGAGAAGCTTCCTGGAAAGCAGAAGGCTTGCCCTTTTAGGACAGTCCAAAGGATAGCATGGCACACAAGACAGAATGACAGACTCCTGTGTGAGATATGGAAGAGGCTTAGATGGGATGGCTGGAAGATTTTCCTGTGCAGACACTTACTTAACTCATAGTATCTCTTGAGTATTTGATTTAAAAATCAGTTTTATGGTATTTTTAGCTGCTTCTGTTCAGTATGAATTATGATAGATTTCAAAATATTTCAAAACATTTTAAAAGGCAAGTTATATTCTCCAACATTTTTTCAGGGGTATATAATTATGACATTTAATTGGCAACTACTGATTGAATAATATATTGAAAGAGCTACTGGCCTTAATTTTAAGTAAGGAGTTTTCTCCTTTGAAAGAAACTTTGGGTTTACTATAAAATTCACTCATGAGGGGCGCCTGGGTGGCTCAGTGGGTTAGGCCGCTGCCTTCGGCTCAGGTCATGATCTCAGGGTCCTGAGATCGAGTCCCGCATCGGGCTCTCTGCTCAACAGGGAGCCTGCTTCCCTTCCTCTCTCTCTGCCTGCCTCTCTGCCTACTTGTGATCTCTGTCTGTCAAATAAATAAATAAAATCTTTAAAAAAAAAAAAAATTCACTCATGACATTATAAAGAAATAAAACTTGTTTTCTTCCTTGCAGACAGTGAAGCATTTAAGGACCCTAGAATTTAAGCCCTACGTGATATTTATAAAGCCTCCATCAATAGAGCGCTTGAGGGAGACAAGAAAAAATGCAAAGATTATTTCAAGCAGAGATGACCAAGGTGCTGCAAAGCCTTTCACAGTAAGTACAGTGAGACTCATTAAGAAAATGTAAGTGGGGCACCTGGGTGGCTCAGTGGGTTAAGCCGCTGCCGTCGGCTCAGGTCATGATCTCAGGGTCCTCGGATCAAGTCCCGCATTAGGCTCTCTGCTCAGCGGGGAGCCTCTCTCTCTGCCTACTTGTGAGCTCTCTCTGTAAAAATAAATAAAATCTTTAAAAAAAATTAAAAAAAAAAAGAAAGAAAATGTAAGTGGTGCTTGAAATTATGCATGCGGGAGCCCCACTACCTTCAGAAGACACGGTGTAGTAGATGGTATGATCCACAACTCGATAAAAGCAGAAATGTATTTAGGTACGTACCTTTTGAGTGATTGCATGGTAATGGCTTTCTGTGCTTCTATGACTAGATCTTCCTATTCTCTTGACTGAAGTATTCCTGTAATGATGAGTGAGTGATAATCCTGAAATTCACGATAGGTGGGAACTTTGCATTAGCAGTTGAGTTATGAAGTTATGACATCTGAAGAAATTGTAGGTCAAGAGGGTCATTTTCATTTGTGGCTGAGAGAAAAAACACAGGATAGCATTTGATAAACCGGTTATGGAAATGTCTGCATCCATGTAAAGTGATATAATTGCCTGGTTAACCAAAAAAATTTTTTTTAATATTTCCTTTTGCAGGAAGAAGACTTTCAGGAAATGATTAAATCTGCACAGATAATGGAAAATCAGTATGGTCATCTTTTTGACAAAATCATAGTAAATGATGACCTCACCGTGGCATTCAATGAGCTGAAAACAACTTTTGACAAATTAGAGACAGAGGCCCACTGGGTTCCAGTGAGCTGGTTACATTCGTAACTAAGGGAAACTCCCACGATCAGCGTTTTGTAGAGTGCATGATGAAATCTGTTACTGTCCCGGTGGCAGGGTTTGTTAGTCTATGTCACTGCTGTAGACATGCAGTCTTGCTTAAAACTGAATGTTGGTTTTGTTTGTATCTTTCTCCAGCCTTACTTCAAGCACAGTATTTGAGTAGAAGATCCAGAATCAAAATTTGCATAGTACCATCTTTTGAGCAGAGCTTTTGAACCTTTTGGTTGTCTTTAACATACAGCTGTATCTCCAAGAGGAGGTTGGACTTTTCAGGGAGAAACAGCCAGGGAATTGATACTGGAGGTGTGCTTCGTTGGGTCTCAGATGTGGTCCCTCCATCAAGTCTGGACGCTCACAGCTGAAGGTATGACCTTCACAGCCGTGAGCAGCTCCAGGCAAACAGGACAGCTTTGCCGTTCTTCCGATGGGTCACTAGGCTCACCTGGGCTGACAGTAAGGCATCCTCTTACTATTCTAAAAGCGCAACCTTTTTCTTACATATCTACAATATAGTCAGTGTATTTAAGGAATTATGACACATTTGCCTTAGTGAGTGGCCTGCATGTCATAGCTTGAGAAGGCCTCTTAGGACTACGGATCAGTGTCTCAAATATTTAATGAGGGAAGGTAAAACTTTTTAAAATGATTGTATTTGTCACTAAAAGCCCTTCCTTAATGGGATTAGTCTTTGTAAGTAAGGTTGGTGTTCTCTTGGGGCAAGTCATGATTACAAAGGACATTTTTATTTGTAAATCATCAGACAGGATTTCTGCAGTCACCATCCAATAAATCATAAGAATGTGATTCCTATTCCAAAAGTAGGTGTTTTACCTGTTACCAATACAGTTAAAATGTGATCAATTTTCACATGTGCAATTGATCATATATTTTAAATTGCACTAAGATGTATTTTAGAAAACTTTCTGTGTAATGTTAACTTACCTCTTCATCATCAAAATAATTCTTAACACTGGTCAGGTGCCATCCTAATCTTACCATTTTTAAAGAATTATAAGAAAGACTCTGTATTATAAATATTTAGATGGGTTCTCATTTTTGCTTCTTGCTACTGAACTTCAGCAAATAAATCACATAGCTCAAGATACTAGAAAGGGCCGTAAGTTGTATAAGAGAACATGTCTTGCCGTTCTTGCATGCACTAAGACCCTGCCAATCAAAAATCATTGCATCTGTGACTTTCAAACAGAAAATATTTTTTGTTGATTTGTAAAGAGTTTAGATGTCATGTTTAAAGAAAAAATAGAATGTAGTGAAATTTTATATATTTATGAAATCTCTCAAAGGCATATTTTTTTAACAATCAAATGGAGCTATTCATAAATTGTATGTAAAGATGTCATAATTTAAAATAGTTTTATAAGTCAGGGTCAACATTCCATGTAAATATTTGACCTTTGTTCATACACAGATCGACCCTCAAGTGTTATACGCGCACCACCACTTGGTAGCGCTATCCGCTGGGTTTCCTTCAGACATGTCAAAGTTTGTTAGAAACAGAGACAAAAACTACTGCAATGGCCTTGATACACACGCACACTAAAACAGTCAGACTAAGTGTTACCTAACATGATCCAAACAGTGAGTTCTAAGTTTATAAACCCAACGGCAAGCCATTTAGTTTTATAAAAGTGTGGGGAAGAGGGCTGCCGTACTTAAAGTTATAGGGCTGCTCTAAGAAAATACAAGTCTTACACAGAGTTTGGGTAGAGGAGACTCCTCTTTGAACACTGGCTAAAAATCTCCTGTAAATCAAAATCTCCTCTACAAAGAGTAATGGGAAACGTGTAATTAATTTATCTAGGCAATTGTCTGAATAATTTCGGAGTCTAAATTCTTTACTGCGGGGGTAGAGGGTAGCGGAACGGGGTGGAAACAGAGTCCTTGTGGCTGTTGGTAGCGATGGGGTGTTACTACGAAATACAAGTGTCCAGACCTCTCTCCCTTTTCACACTAGAACTGAACAAGGGTTTTTTTTGTTTGTTTTTAATGAAAAGATGCCCCTTAGCAATTTGGGAAATATACTAGGTACATGGCTTTGCAAGTGATGCTTACATGGCCATTTTGATGTCTAGAAACCGAGTAAGGCAGTGCCAGGGGCTCGCTGATAACTACTGCAGAAGGCCCGAGACTTGTGTCTGCAGCCAGACCCCCTCCTCCTTCAGCAAGGAGACGCACACGGTGCCCCTCACTGTACTAGTTCGGCCGGCTCCCAAGACCATGGAAGCCACTATTTGAGAGAAGAGGAATGTTTATATTTTTAAGTCCATCTATTTAAAATCCAAGATCAGAAAATTTTGTATTCCCATGATCACCAGCTGGAGATCCCAACTGGAGTCCATTAAAAAGAAAAAGGTGAAATTGAAATATTTTTTTCCCGTTGTTTTACTTACTCATATAGACGTTCTTAATAGCTGTAAGGCTGACATTCCTAGTATTATATAATGATTGAATGTATCTGAATCATAATAAAATGGACAAACCTGTAATCTTTACAGATTTTTAAAAAACTTAGTAAAAGCTTCTTGAAGGTCTAGATTTCTATTATTTATTTTCTTTTTGACTGCTAAGGATTTCTAAATAAATGTAATGGAAAACCTTTGATCTTAATAAAGTACCTTCAGAGGACATGTGCACTTGCACAATGTTCTTGCGCTTGGGTCTTTAGCATAGTGTTTTTTGTGGTCGAACAAACACTGTTTTCTACTCTAATACCAAATGGTTTATTTGAATTTGCCATGTTTAAAATTAAACTTCATATTTGTTTCCATCAATAAGTTACTGGTCTTAACAAGGTTGTTGAACAAACGGACTTCACCAGTCCAGCCATTTAAAGACACAGCCTCTCTGCCCGTGGGTCCCACTCCCTGGATCACTCTGGTCCAGCGGACGCAGCCAAGCCTTGGGGTACCTGCTGGTCCCTGAGCTCTTGGGGGGACATCCTTCTCTACAGCTCCTCCTCCAGGACGTGCCCAGACCCTGAGGGCGGTCCATAGCTGGGCTTTCCCCATGGGACCCCAGGAGAAATAAGGGGGGGTTGGACAGTCAGGGCCCATCCATGATGGGATCGTCCCTTGTCCCACTCCTCCCCATCAGGAACTAGAGCATTCTCCACATCCCGTTCCTGAACTCCAGGCAGGCACAACTCAGCTTTTTTATTTAGCTGTACTTGAGAACAGATGGCTACCTGCTTAGGTACACGCGCTCATTAGCGCTGGCCTTGCTTCAACAGTTGAGCCAATGAGCCCCAGCTCTGCTTCCGCTGAAACACTGTACAGGGTAGCACTCAGGAGCCTGGGATCTGGAGCCACACTTCCTGAGTTCAAATTCTGGTTTTGCCTATTACCAGCTTTGCAGCCTTGAGACAGTCCTTTAACCTCTCTAAGCAGGAAAATGGACATAATAATTCTGCTTACCTGATGGGATGGTTGTGGGCACAGAAGAGCTGATCCATGTAAAGTACTTGGAACAAAACCCTGGGACAGAAATATTCGATAACTGTGAGCTCCTGTGTTACAGTGATCATTCTCACAGCACACAATTTCGAAATCGCTCTATAAATGATCACCCATATGAACAGTTCTCCATTAGCAAACTCACTGGAAGTCTCCTAATAATTCCTAGGATGGTTTTATTATGTAAAAAGCATCCATTACTTCAAAGTGATACATCAGGACCTAATAAAGTAATCCTCAATAGGGAAGTGAACAAATTTTTATTTTTAGCCACTGGTATGCAGTATAACTTACATGGATTTAAGAGAAATGTCCCTTAATTGCATTAATGCCCTTTCTTTGGCTACCACACTTCCTTCACAAATGCTTGCTCCCCTTACCCTCAAGCTCCAGGAGGGCAGGGAGTGTTTCTGAAACCGCTGTGTATGCACGTGCTCTGACCCGGACCAACCCCCGCCGCCCCACTGTACTTCCTGACCATCAGACGTCTGTGTGGTTTCCATTCGCTATCTCATTGAATCCTCACAGCTCCCTTACATGAAAGACACCTTCCTATTTGTACAACTGAGAAAAGGGAGGGGCGGGGCTTCAGCACCTTGCCCCAGGTGACCGAGGCTCACGAGCACTGGAATCTGGACGTGAACCGGGGTCCGCCTCCCCGCGCCCGCACCATTTTCACTGCGGCACGCTTCCTGATGTTGCTGTCGCTTGAGCCAGAGCTGGAAACCTGAGATTTGGTCACTTGGAGAAGGTTTACCCTTCTTATGCATGCACAGTTTATAATTTTCTCAAAACACTACTGCTTGAAGTCGGATAGACCTTGCTGTACCTAAGCCTGTAAGAACGGGTTAATCCACAGAAAGTGGCTGTTTATCAGCAGCAAACCTGCGCAGCGTGACACGCAATTCAGTTTAGGCCGCCCGAGCCCCGGTCCTTAGTGGTGAATCGGGACAGTCTGCACTTTGTGGGGATTAACCTGAGTTGGTCGTGCTGCCCAGTGCCACGTGATGTCTATTGGAGAGGCTGTGACTAAGGGTTGTTCCCCTGATTTACTTTGTCAAAGATTAAACTGCATGTGGTAAAAGATCTTTTATGCCCCTGTCCCTATCCTTCTGTTGGCGCTACCCCAATTATTTGGTGATGTTTGCCAACGTGACTGCCATAATGCCGACCTTAAACCAGAATAATAAAGGCCAGTCTGTAGAATGACCGAGTAGAAAAAAGAAAAGATCCTAAATCCATAATAGCATCAAACTGTTGAACCAATCCTGGAACCTCCGTCCACTAACTGCTGAATACACACTCAGGGTTCTCATGGCCTGCTGGCGGGAATATAAATTGGTGTAAACACTACAGAAAACTGTATGGAGGCCACAAGAAATTAAAAACAACTGTATTATGATCGAGCAAGCCCACTTCTAGGTATATATCTGAAGGAAAATGAAGTCTGTACTCCCTGGTTCATTGCAGCATTACTCATGATAGGCAAGACAAGGAAACAACTTAAGTGCCCATCAACAGATGAATGGATAAAGAATGGAAATACACACCAATATTATTCAACTATGAAAAAGAAGGAAATTCTGCCTGTTGCAACAACATGGATGGGCTTTGAGGGTCTTATACTAAATGGAATAAGAGAAAGGTAATAACTCTATGTTCTCATTTACATATGGATTCTGAAAAAGGCAAACTCAGAACAAAAAACTGTAGTTACCCAGGCCTGGAGGGTAGGAGATATGGGGAGATGCTGGTCAAGGGTAAACTTCCAGTTATAAATTAGATAAATTCTGGGGATCGAGTGTACAACATACTGACTATAGTTAACAACTCTCAGTTACATTATACAGTATAGTTAAGAGTAGACTTCATCACCACATCAAAAAGAAGGTAATTATATGAGGTGTTGGAAATATTAACCTTATTGTGGTAATCCTCTCACAATATAAACATGTGTTAAATCACATTGTATATCCTAAACTCACACCCTGAAAAAAATACAAAGGTTCTGATGGTTTACGTCACTGGTAGGCTGTTCACTGGGAAAGCAGCATCCATGAGTAACTCAGGCCACTCCCACTCTTTGCTTGCACTTACCAAAGGTGGTCTTGTCAGCTGCACATGCCCTTGAGTGATGCGGTGATTGAACTTGAAAACACCCTGAAACGACAAAAAACATGATCATCTCAACAGATGCAGAAAAGCATTGGATACTACTCAACGTCCATTCATATTAAAAACTCTCTCTTGAGTTTCTTCTTAGTGGGTTTAAAGGGAACATACCTGAAAAGGATAAAATCTATATGAAAAACCCACAGCTAACATCAGAGTCATCATAAGTCAACATCAGTGAAAAACTAAGCACTTTTCCCTAAGGTCAGGAGCAAGACAAGGATGTCTACTCTCACCACTTTTACTCAACTTAGTACTGGAAGTCTTAACCACAGCAAAAATAAAGAAAAGGCATCCAAATTGGTAAGGAAGAAAGTAAAACTATTTGCAGATGATGTGATACTATACATAGAAAAACCTAAACACTCTACAAAAAAAACTATTAGAAATAAATGAATTCAATAAAGATGCAGGACACAAAATACTCAGAAATCGTTTGTGTTTCTAAACACTAGTAACAAACTAACAGAGAGATTAAGACATTTCCACTGACAGTTGCACCAAAAAAGAATAAAATATCTAGGTATAAACCTAACCAAGGAGTGAAAGACCTATAGTTGGAAAACTATAAAACAGTGACAAAGAAATGGAAGATAGCACAATTGGAAAGAACATTGTTTAAATGTTCACACTATCCAAAGCAAACTACAGATTCAATGCAATCCCTATCAAAAAACAATAGCATTTTTTTTTTACAGAAGTAGAAAAAAATGATTTTATAGAACTAGAGAGCCCAGAAATACACTCACACTTACATGGCACATTAACCTACAACAAAAGAGGCATGAATATACAAAGGTGATAAAAGAGTCTCTTCAGGGGCACCTGGGTGGCTCAGTGGATTAAAGCCTCTGCCTTCAGCTTAGGTCGTGATCCCAGGGTCTTGGGATAGATTCCCACATCGGGCTCTCTGCTCAGTGGGGAGACTGCTTCCCCCCACCTCTCTACCTACTTGTCATCTCTGTGAAATGCATAAATAAAATCTTTAAAAAAACAAAACAGTCTCTTCAACCAATGGTGCTGGGGAAACTGGACAGCTCCATGCAAAAGAATGAAACTGAACCACTTAACAACATACACAAAAATAAATTCAAAATGAATTAAAGACCTAAATGTGAGATAGGAAACCATACAACTTAAAACACAGGCAGTAATTTCTTTGACCTCAGTTTTAACAACATTTCTCTAGATTGGTCTCCTCAGGCAAAGGAAACAAAAGCAAAAATAAATTATTGGTACTACACCAAAAAAAAAAAAAAAAAGAAAAAGAAAAAGGTTTTGCATAGCAAAAGAAACCATCAACAAAACAAAAAGGCAACCTACTAAATGGGAAAAAAATGTTTGCAAATTATATATCTGATAAGGGGTTAATATTCGAAATATAGGGATGTCTGGGTGGCTCAGATGGTTGGGTGTCTGCCTTTGGCACAGGCCATGATCCCAGGGTCCTGGGATCGAGTCCCACATCAGGCTCCCTGCTTAGCTGGGGGTCTGCTTCACCCTCTGCCTGTGTGTGCTCTCACCCTGACAAATAAATAAATAAAGAAAATCTTTTTTAAAAATCCAAAACACATAAATAACTTATACAACTAAACACCAAAAATACAAGTAATCCAATTAAAAATGGAAAGAGGACCTACATATACATTTTTCCAAAGACCTACAGATGGCCAACAGACACTTGAAAAAGTGCTCAACATCACTAATCATTAGAGAAATACCAATCAAAACCACAATGAGATATCACCTTACATCTCTAAGAACAGCCAGAATCAAAAAGACAAGAAAAAACAAGTGTCGGCGGAGATGTGGAGAAAAGGAACCCTATGCACCGTTGGTGGGAATGTTAAAAAATCAGTGCAGCTCTGGTGGGAAAACAGTATGGAGGTACCTCAAATTGTAAAAATAGAAATGCCATATGGTCCAAATACAATGGTCCCAGTAATTCCACTACTGGGTATTTACTCAATGAAAATGAAAACACTAGTCTGGAAAAATATACGCACCTATGTTTAGTGCAGCATTATTTACAAAAGCCAAAATAGGGAGGCAACTCAAGTGTCCATCAATACATGAGTGGATAACAATATATGTGTACAAACACACACACACACACACTCACACACACTCACTGGAATATTACTCAACCATAAAAAAGAATGAGATCTTGTTACCTGTGACAACACAGATGAACGTACAGGGTATTATGCTAAGTGAGATGAGTCAGGCAAAGACAAAACCATATGATCTCAGTTTTATGGAATCTAAAAATAAATCACAAGACAAATAATAATGAGGTAATAGATCCATAAATACATAGAACCGACAGTTGCCAGAGAGCAGGGTGGAAGGTGTGAACAAAATGAAGGAAGGGAGATACAGACTTCTAGTTACGGAATGAACAGGCCACGGGGATGAAAGGCACAGCACGGGAAATGTAGTCAATGGAATTATAATCGTGTTCTGTGGTAACAGACGGTAGCTATACTTGCGGTGAGCACAGCCTTACGAACCAAGCTGTTGAATCACTGTTGAATACCTGAGACAAATGTGACCGTGTGTGTCACTACACTGGACTTTTTTTTTTTTTTAATCTGAAAAAAAATTTCTGGAACCTATAGAGTGGGCCAAAGCAAGAGACTACATTTAAATTCTCTTCTTCCTGGATTTCACTTTTTTCCTCCACAACATGGATGAGATTTTAACCTTAAAGTTTGGACAAAGTTGTTTTATGTTTTTGGATTTACAAATTTATCATGCTTGTGGGTCTACCATTTTGAACAAAGAAATACCTATTTTACTTGACTTGGGCAAAAGTAATACCAAAGACTTCATCTGTCGAGTCTTTATTCTGCCCCAGGCACATTCTTTTTGTTTTTTTTAAGGTTTTATCTATTTCAGCAAGAGAAGAGTGAACAGGCGCCATGAATGGGAGGAGGAGAGGGAGAGAGAGAGACTCTCCAGCAGAATCCATGCTGAGTGCAGAGCCTGATACAGGGCTCGATCCTGGGATTCTAAGATCATGAGCTGAGCCGAAACCAACTGTCAGAACTTAGCCAACTGAGCCACCCAAGCACCCTGCTCCAGGCACTCCAATCAGTAGTGTGTGAACATATAAAAGATCTAAACAGGAATACATTTAAATAACCACGGCTATGGGGATGCCTGGGTGGCTCAGTTTGTTAAGCATCTGCCTCTGGCTCAGGTCATGATCCCAAGGTCCTGAGATCAAGTTCCGCTTTCTGCTCAGTGGGGAGTCTGCTTCTCCCTCTCTCTCTCCCCCTCCCCCTCTCTCAAATGAATAAATAACATTTTTCAAAAAAAAAATAACCATGGCTATAGAATGTAATTACTATAAATGTTAAAGATGAACTATCTATATAGCGTAAGTAAAAGGACTGGCAACAAACCAGGCAGATGCAAACAGAAAGCAAGGGACCTAATAATATTAATAATAATAGTAATATTATTAATATCAAAATTGAGTTCAATGTTTATTAGTTGGGTCAAACATCCTCCTGTAATAAACAGTGGTACAAGCCACAAAAGGAAGAGCTCAGACAGCAGACATAAAGCAAAACCTTGAGAAACGTAGTCAACAAAAACACGTGATTTGGTTATTTTTAAAACACTTCTCTTAGACTGTGGAGAAATATGGTTGTAGAAGGTCCACATGTCTTAACTTCTCTGGCGGATCTCACAGCCATGAAAAGAAT